CGCGGACGATCTGGTCCTACTGCAGACAACCCAGAGAGCCTCCAAGGTATGCTAGACGCCACCAGCCGGGCTACTGACTGGATGGGGCTCCGCTTCAATGCAAAGAAGTGCGCAACTCTGCACATTGACGGAGGCAAAAGGGACTCAGTGCAGGCAACGGGGTTCCAGATCCAGGGTGAGCCCATCATCCCCCTGGCAGAGGGGCAGGCATACCAGAACCTGGGCACGCCAACAGGTTTCTGTGTCTGGCAGACACCCGAGGACATCATCCAGGAGATCTTGCATGTCGCCGCCAAGATTGATGCCTCCCTGCTGGCACCGTGACAGAAGATAAACGCCCTGAACACCTTCCTGATCCCACGCATCTCGTTCACCCTAAGAGGATCCGCCCTGGTGAAGGTGCCCCTCAACAGGGCAGACAAGATCATCCGGAAGATGGTGAAGAAGTGGCTGTTCCTTCCCCAGAGAGCCAGCAACGAGCTGGTCTACATCGCCCACAGGCACGGCGGCGCCAACGTCCCCCACATGGGTGACCTGTGCGACATCGCGGTGATCAGCCACGCCTTCCGCCTGCTGACATGTCCTGATGCCACAGTAAGGAACATCGCAGCGAACGCACTGTATGATGCAACAGAGAAGTGGATTGGCAGAGCCCCCTCCAATCAAGACATCGCCACCTTCCTGAGCAGCTCCCTGGATGGGGAATTCGGATGGGACGGGCGTGACATCGCTTCACTGTGGTCCTGCACTCGCAATGCCACGCGTCGCCTAGGGAAGCGCATTGGCTGCCGCTGGGAGTGGTGCGAGGAGCGCCAGGAGCTGGGAGTCCGAGTGCCGCAGATGAGGTCCGACGACACCATCATCACCCCGAGCGCCAGGGGCTTGCTGAAGAGGACTCTGAAGGCCGCCATCCACTCGCTGTACGTGGAAATCCTGAAGCATAAACCGGACCAGGGTAAAGCCTTTGAGTTGACCAGCAAGTGGGACGCCAGCAACCACTTCCTCGCCGGGGACGGCTTCACCCGTTTCGCCGACTGGCGGTTCATCCGCCGTGCCCAGCTCAACTGCGTCCCGCTCAACGGAGCCGTCCGCCACGGGAACCGAGACAAGTGTTGCAGGAAGTGCAGCTACTCCAACGAGACCCTGCCCCACGTCCTGTGCAGCTGCAAACCCCACTCCAGAGCCTGGCAGCTGCGCCACAACGCCATCCAGAACCGCCTGGTGAAAGCCATCGTGCCACGCCTGGGGGAGATCTCCATGAATTGCACCATCCCCGGTACCAACATCCAGCTACGACCTGACGTGGTCGTCACCAACGAGGCCCAGAAAAAGATCATCCTCGTCGACGGCACGGTCTCCTTTGAGACCAGGACCCCAGCATTTCGCGAAGCCCAAGCTCATAAGCTGGAAAAGTACGCCTCCCTGGCTGACACCCTGAGAGCGAAGGGCTACAAGGTGCAGATGGACGCCCTGATTGTCGGAGCCCTGGGCGCCTGGGAGCCCTGCAACGAGCGTGTGCTGCGGACCTGCGGGATCAGTCGACGCTACGCATGGCTCATGCGGTGCCTCATGGTCTCAGACACCATCCAATGGTCCAGGCACATCACCAGCCACCGACAGTACCAGGAGACGTGAGCCAGAGTGACATCGTTCTCCCACTATGAGAAAGGGACCAAGTGACCTTCTCCATTGGATCATATGAAATTGGTGGAGAAGTCTCTGAAGGCTACCCAGGGAAGGGTTATAGTACTTGGGAGGGAGATATTCTGGGGGGGAGGTAGACAGAGTTTCCCAAATAACTCATAAATAATTTGGGTGGTGGCAGCAAAACCAGAGCTAAGCTTGTAGTTAAGCTTAGAGGTTCTCATGCAGGTCCCCACATCTGTACCCTAGAGTTCAGAGTGGGGAAGAAACCTTGATAGCTGCTTTTAACCATCTTAATTTAAATGAAACAAGCACAGAAGTAGTTTCTTTACTATGTCAAATCTTTTTTTTAAACTTTCCCCCCTTTTTTTTAGTAGTTTACATTTAACACAGTGCTGTGCTGTATTAGCTTCTTTTTGTCTCTGCTGCTGTCTGATTGTGTACTTCCGGTTCCAAATGAGGTGTGTGGTTGACTGGTTAGTTTGTAACTGCTGTTTGTAACTCTGAGGTTGTATTGTAATTCTGTTGAGTTTAATGGAGCTACTCTGAGCCTTATACTCACACCATCGAAAGATCTGTTTTTTAAAAAGCCCAACTCTATCCTTGCAAAGGTAAGAATAGCTATTCTGAATCAGATCAGTGATCCCACCTATTCTAATATCCTGTCTCCCATAGTGGTCAATATCAGATGGGTGGTTTCTTTCTTTTTCCATAGGTTATGAGAATCTGGGCTGAAACTGATAGCTTTGGAAATTGAAATCCTCTATCTAAGGAACAGCGGCAGTGCAACCTTTCCCCACCAACATGCTTTAACTCTGACCTAGAAGGGCCATACTGGGGGCGAGGATAGCTCATTTTTAATCACTGCTGAACCCTGGAGCTCTGCAGACTGCTGACAGAGGCCAATTATTGTTCATAACAATTTTGTTCTTGTGGCTTGGACACCTGCCTGCTAGGAAGTTGAAGTAAAGCTGTCAAGTGGTTTCCCTGAAAGATATAAACCAAGTGGTAACCGTTTTCTGTCACAACATGCAAGGTGGCTTCAAAATGGTGACCTAGAGGTGAAAAGCTCCATCTCCGTTTAGCAATTCCATCGGCCATCCTGTCTCCTAGTGTATGTTAGCACTTTTGCTGTATTTGAGGTTACAATTCTACTTCCATTTTAACCCTATTTTCACCCAATCTATTTTCAGAAGAAACAGTTTCAAAATTAATACTATTCATACAAACATGTGGGAACCAAATCCTCTTTATTATTCCAGCAAGTATGTAGTACATCACCTCTGCAAGGGAATCAGACACCAGGATGATGAGTGCAGGACGCAAACCTGAATAGTTTGATATTACCAAAAAAACCCATACAAAAATCATGAAATTAGCAAGATGTCCGCATAACCTCCCTATTCAATCTCATTGTTTCTGTTCCCATTTTGCTTTCTGCAGGGTGTCTGTTTAGGCCCCGATCCTGCAAAGACTTACACATACACAAAGCACATGAGCAGTGCCACCAAGATCTCACAATCTTAAAGTCACGCATATGCATAAATCTTTACAGAATCAGAGACTTCAATTATCAGTGGTTTGAGGTGGAGGCCTTGGCATAATTAAGATATATTTTATACAAGATGGCTCATGTCAGATATCATTGGAAAGGTTATAATTTACTGAATGTGATTATCAAATCTGTATCTAAAGTTAGGGATATTGACTATGTAACAATTGCAACTGTGTGTGTATTTGGGAGACACCCACCAGACAACAGGTCATCAGCTTTGATGGGCCATTAGGAAGAAACAATAAATCTCTTTCCTTCCTGAGAGGTGTCCTGGACTTAGCTGTGACACTACTAGGTCAGGTGGTCCTGTCACCTGGTACTAAACATTATCTTGGACTTCTAGTAATTTTCCACTAAAAGGAAGGGGAGGTCAAGACTGGGGAACAAAAGATCTCCACCTTATGTACATCTTATTTAAGGCTGGGGAGGAAGGCAAACAGGACTCTTCTCCATTGTCTTCCTGCCCAAGAAGAAAGACTGCTGACAGTACCTGAAGGGACAAAGGAACTGAACTGTGGGAGAAGCAAGGGCTGAGTCCAGACTAAGGGTATGTCTTCACAAGCAATGTTAAAGCTCTATGGCTGTGTAGTCATGGCACCAGCACGCTGTAAAAAAACTACCCCTATGAGGGGAGTAGCTCCCAGCACTGGGAATGCAGCTCCCAGGGCTGATGCAGTGTCTATACTGCCACTTTACAGCGCTGAAACTTGCAGTGCTCAGGGGGGTGTTTTTCACAGTGAGAAAGTTGCAGCGCTGTAAAGTGGGAGTGTAGACAAGGCAGGAGTTTAGTCTGTAAAGAGAAATACCTAGAACTCTAAGCTACAGAAACTTTACAACTTGCCAATTTCTTGAAACCAGTCTCTTTAAGATCTTAAGCTTAGTATGTGTGTTTTGTTTTATTTGCTTGGTAATCTGCTTTGTTCCGTTTGCTATCCCTTATAATCATTTAAAATCTACCTTTTATAGTTAATAAACTTGTTTTTATTATTAAACCCAGTTTGTGCAATTTATAACTGGGAGGGGGGAGGGAGAAGTTGTGCATATCTCTTTCCACATTGAGGGAGAGGGTGAATTTTTATGAGCTTGCACTGTGCAGAGCTTTCAAAACAGTACAAGATGATATTATCTTGGGTGTACTCTCCAGAGAAGAGCTGCACTTGAGTGCTGGGCGATTTCCTAGCTGAGTCTTCTCATAGAGAGTTGTTTGCAGACTCTGTGTGATTCTACAGCTGGTGTGACCCTACCTGTGCGTGTGCTGCCAAAGGCCAGAGAGCCTAATTCAGCAAGAGAGGGAGCCCAGGCTAGCGGAGCAGGCAGGTTCCATTAAATCCCAGGACATCATGTGCATCCCAGAAGGGGGGTTCAAACCATCACACCTACCTCCCACTGAACTCAATGGGAGTTAGGAGCCTAAATACCTTTGTGGCCTTAGTTACCACCTGCTAGCCCCCACGTGGCAGGAACAGGCCCTTCCTGGGGTGGACGCAGTCTAAGGGAGAAGCCCAGTTCCCCCCTTTTCTTGGCTTATGGGAGCAGCGCCCCCCGCCTGGCCTGGGGGAGCAACTTCAAGTCCCCCTCCTGTTCCGATCTGCCCCATTCTGAGGCAGGATGGGGGGGCAAGGGGAGGGGGTAGCCTGTCCTACTCACCCGCCCCGTCCCTCTGCTATCAGCAGCCATCGCTCTCCGCCGGCCCCCCTTCAAAATGGCCGCCCGCGCCCCTCCTCCCCTCCGCTCCGCAAGGCCCCGCCCCCTTGCGGCTCCTCGTTGTCACGTGGCGGGGGCGGTTTGTCCCCCCGGCGACGCCGTAGCCGCTGCCCCTCCCCTTGCCCTCGATCCAGGCGCGTGGTGGTGGCCTCTGAGCGCGGCCGGCGAGAGGAAGCCTCGCGCCCCGGTTGTCCCGTCCCGCTCCCCAGCCCGCATCGCTATGTTGGGAGCTGCCCTGCTCCTTCGTCGCTGCACCGCCGCCGGCCTCCGTGGCCTGGCCCGGCGGGTCCGACAGCCGCCCGCCGCCGCCGGTGAGTGAATGAGCGAACGAGCGAGCGGCGCCTTGTTCCCGCTTCTCGACGCTGGCCCCGGGCCGCTGGAGCCCGGCCGCGCTGGCGCCCCCGCCCCTGCCCCCCTCGGCTCCGCGGTCACGGGCGGGGCTGTGGGGGCGCCCAGTTCCGGGAGCGCCCAGCGGCGGGGCCCCGGGGGGCTGCGCCGGCCCGGCAGCGCCGTGTCCTTGCGGTGACCTGCGGTGTCACTCGAGGACTGGCTGCACCTGCGGCCTAGTGTGAGCCCCCTGCACCCCCCCCCGCACCCCGTCCCCTCTTCCTCCGCCGCACTCCGACCGCCCCTTCCCCCGCCGCGGCTGTGGTAGCCTCGTCCCCCCCGCGCCTCGGCCGAAGCCCTCGCGCCGCCCCGTGGCATGAGCGGGGGCGGGGGGCCCGGGCTAGGACACCGCCCTGCTCCGTCAAGGTTATCGCCTTCAGGTCGAGCCTTCGGTACCTGCGCCGGGGTCCCCCGCGTGCCGAAGCGGGAGCCGCGCCCGCCAAGGAGCGCCGGGGATGGTTGCATCCGTGGCCGCCGCGGGAAGGTGACATTGAGCTGGCTGAAGGGGAGAGGGAGGTGAAGCCTGCACGGGCACCTGTGCTAGCCTCCCTGCAAGGGAGAGGAGGTAGTGTCGGCCCTGATTCTGGCCCCCACCTCCCTGATGGGGAGTAGGTCTCTCCTTAGGGAAGGGCAGCAAAGGGGGCTAGGTTAGTTGGGGCCAGCCCAGCTGGCCTATTTCGCAATGCCGCTACCTTTGTCTCCGTTGCCCGTTTTGCTTCCTCTTTCATGCTTGTCTCTCTCCACTCGCTGTCTAGCATTTCTGCAGTGACTCAGATTTGAAGATAGTTGGCACCACTTGCAGCCACGTTATGGGCCTTTCTATAACAAAGCTAACCTGTCTGTGGCATGCAAATCTTGATTTGTGTAAACCAGCCTAGTAGGCTTTCCTTGTTCTCCCAGTGTTATGAAAAATATATGTTCTGGTTAATCTCACATGCCTTGCAACCAAAGGGAAAACAAATCTTGAGTGCAAGTGTTAAGGTTTACTAATCCCCAGATTAGTAGGACAGTGACAGAATGTCTGTATAGCAGTGGTTCTCAACCAGGGGTTCACAGAGGTCTTGCAGGGGGTACATCAACTCATCTAGATATTTGCCTAGTTTTACAACAGGCTATGAAAAATGCACTTGCAAAGTCAGTACAAACGAAAATTTCATACAATGATTTGTTTATATGGATCTATATAATATACCAGGGGTAGGCAACCTATGGCAGGTGTGCCAAAGGCGGCACGCGAGCTGATTTTCAGTGGCACTCACACTGCCCGGGTCCTGGCCACTGGTCCAGGGGGCTCTGCATTTTAATTTAATTTTAAATGAAGCTTCTTAAACATTTTAAAAATCTTATTTACTTTACATACAACAATAGTTTAGTTATATATTATAGACTTCTAGAAAGAGACCTAAAAACGTTAAAATGTATTACTAGCACGCGAAACCTTAAATCAGAGTGAATAAATGAAGACTCGGCACACCGCTTCTGAAAGGTTGCTGACCTCTGTACTATATACTGAAATGTAAATAATATTTATATTTATATTGATTTATAATATGGTAAAAAATGAAAAAGTAAGCAATTTTTCAGTAATAGTGTGCTGTGGCATTTTTGTATTTCTATGTCTGATTTTGTAAGTAAATTGTTTTTTAAGTGAGGTGAAACTTGGGGGTACACAAGACAAATCAGACTCCTGAAAGGGGTACAGTAGTCTGGAAAGGTTGAGAGCCACTGCTGTAGAAAGAGCATATCGTGCTCTTGTCTGAAATTATTACTAGGCCTCTAAGGCTATTGGTTTCAAAAATGTACCACTTGCAAACTCAAATCAGTGTCTACAGTAAACTTAAATCAGGAGTCATTCCTGGGATAGATTGTATCTTTGCTTTTTCAAAAAGAAAATGAAGGTGGACTGAGGAAGTTGATATTGCTGCATCCCTGTTTATATTCTGAAGTGTTCAAGTGGTTTCCTAAAAGCAGCCAGGCTACCATTAAATCATAAGTTTGAAAAGAATGCTTATGTAAAATTTGTTGCTGTATCTTCCTCCTTTTCTTCCTGGTCTTCAATTCTGTATCTTGATGTTCACTCTGTTGAATTGCTCATCAAGGTTAAGCTTTCTCTGATTGCTTTCAAGCGCCTATGTTTAAATCTCTGACCTAGGCCTGGTCTACACTAGAAAATTAGGTTGGCATAACTATGTAGGTCAGGGGTGTGTGAAATCCCCTCCCCTCCAAATAGTGTAGTTAAAACAACCTAAGTCCCTATGTAGAAAGCACTAGGTCAATGGCAGAATTCTTCCATCTATCTAGCTGCTGCCTCTTGAGGAGGTGGATCACCTATGCAGACAGGAGAATCCCTCCCATTGGGATAGGTAGTGTCTATGCAAGTGCTGCTGAGACGCAGCTGTGCCACTGTAGTATCTTAAATACAAACAAGCCCCTTGTCTCCCTTCTCATACACCTCTTCTGGTTCCTCGTCTTTTGTATTCCATCAATGCTAACCTTCTTATAGCCTTTCACGAAAGTCTGTGTGCTGCCCTCTCTGCTACCCTATGTGCTTGGAATGTCCTTTCATGTTTCCAAGTCTCCATCCTTATCTCATTCACATCACTCCCAAGACCCACTTTTGCAGCATCACTTCCACAAAAATGTTTCATGCTTTAAAAAAATTATGCCTCCAAGATGCATTTGTCTAAACTGAGTAATGGTATAAGAGTATCTGTAAACTTGTATTTCCCTCCTCCCACTTTCTGGTGTGTGCTTCATTCCTGTATAACTTTGTCAAGTGCATCTCTAGATTGTAAGTTCCCTGGCACAGAGACCGGTCTCTTTTTTTGTGTGAAATGCCTAGCACACTTGAGTGTGGTGTACAATGTCCTGTTTTCTGTTGCTGGGCATGTCTTCACTCAAACTTATCTTTTTAAATTAATCTCTTTAAATGGTCCTTTTTTATATATACACACCTCCACTTCCTCTCCCCCGTCCCCCAGCACTCTTCTGACCTTGTCTTTCTTCTACCAATGTTTTACTTTTGCTTTTGTTGTGTCCCCATCTTCCTCTGGAGATCAGCTGAGTGCAAGTCTGGCTTGACCACCAAATAGAGATGAGTATGTTGGATAGTGAGGGGTAACAGTGAATTTGAGGCCGTCCCCTTCTAAATGTGGATATGTTGACAGCTCTTCGTCACAGTATTATTTTAGTATTTATATCACATTCCAGCTGGATCTAAATATTTTATAAATATGTCAATTTTGGAATATCTCCTATAAAAGGGAGGTGGTAAGTATTATCCACTTTTACCTATAAGTAGACAAGGTATTTGGAAGCTGTAACTTGCCCAAGGTCACGAAGCAAGTCAGCAGTAGAGTTAGGAATATATCCTGGAAGCTTTGAGTTCTAGCTCCTGGCTCTTAATATTCAAGTGCACAAGTATCTATTTCTAAAAGGATGTTATTAACTTAGTTGGCCTGTAACATATAATTTTGTAAACATGCAGTTATAAAAACTAAAACCAATGGACATATTTTCATGACACTTCCTTAAAAACTTAGTTTAATCTTCAGTAATTGCACCTCAAAACACAGGCAGTAAGAATCTGAAAGTGAAAATGACTTAATTGACTTCTATATAGGTTGTAATACCACGCTCAGCACCGTAATACTTGAGCAACTTCTAGTAATGCATTAAGCTATATGGCTGTTTGTTGTATTTGTACTGTCATATTTTCCCTTGGAGAAGTGTGTGTAGTAGACTATCATATGTTGGAATTTTTTATAATACATATGTTGCTATATATGTCAGAAAAAGCAAAGTCAAAGAAATGTGCCTTTTGCTTATAGTGGAAGGTGGTGAAGATTGTGATGGTGTCCCTAGCCTCTGTTTGCCAGAAGCTCGGAATGGATGACAGGGCATAGATCACTTGATGATTTCATGTTCTGTTCATTCCCCCTGGGGCACCTGGCATTGGCCACTGATGGAAGATACTGGGCTAAATGGACCTTTAGTCTGACCCAGTATGGCCGCTCTTGTGATGGTCCTTAATTCCTTTGAGAGCTCATTCCACAGTCTTGGGTTGATGCCTGAGAAAACTCTCCCCAATACTTCCATTTTCCAGCTTGAGATTTTGCGGGGGAGAGGAAAAGGAAATTGGTTTTTTAAAATTTACGCTTTTAATCTTAAATTTAGTACGCCCACACACAAGGAACATTGTTTGAAATATGATTAAGTTGACAGCATCCTTTTAACTTAAGTAGCCATCGTTATAGAGGTGTACTACATTTAAAGCATTAAAAATCAAGAATATGTCAAGTGAAGGTCTGATTATTACGAAGTAGTTCAGAATACTCTTCTTTTCTCTTTTCTCCCAGATCCCTGAATACTTGTGTACCTGGAAGGTGAAGGGTTGTCAGTCATTCTCGACAAATTTAATGAGTTTCAATTGACTTCCAATTAGCTACAATTGAGTGGTATACCTGAGGGTGTTCATTGTCCATTCTATTAGGAAGGCATTGTAATACGGTGGAGAGATATGCATCTTTTTAAGAGAACTCTTTGATTTCTAAATCAATAATTCATAATCTACATTTTGAATGATGCAATAATCTGTTACGTTTTGGGGAACATTGAATACATTGTGAAAGCTTTGTTCAAATGATGTACTGAATCAATGTCTGGCAAGAATCTGTTGCACTCAGGTCATTCTGTTAAACATAACTTTAGTCTGACTATGTATTGGAGAGAATGATGTTTAGGAGAACATTCCTTTGTATTTTGCAATTTTTTTTGTAATTAGGATCCATTGTCTTAAGTCCACATTGTGTTTTTAGGAAAATTATATTTGCTTCATGCTTAATGGTAAATTTCCTAGTGTCACTTCAAGCTAGAAAAAAAATGGTTAGTCAGCATGAACAAACCAAAGTATAGCACAGAAGTCTTTAACACACATTAAACATTTATATAGTGCTGTAGATGCAGATAGCACTTTACAAAACATAGAATAAGACATGCCCCCGCCCCAGAGAACTTAATAAAACTTTGGTCAATATGAACAAAATAATGTGTTGCATCTAAGTTAGAAAGGAACGAGTCTTAACTTCTTTCCCTTTTCTCCTAGACTCTTGTCTTTAGGGTAGGCTAGGTTGGCAATTAGTGCCATGCTCCTGAGTGCAATTACTCTTTCAACAGTACCAATCATAGAGTGAAATTGATGGGTCCTAGTCATCTTTATCATCTGTGGGTGGAGCAGCTGGGGAAGCACTTACTCTTGAGAGTACGGATCTAACTGCCTGTTTGCGCAGCAGCTAGTCCCATAGCTGTTAGTTGCTGTTGGCAAAGGCTACTTGTTCATCCCTTGTTTAGTGTTCAGAAAACCCCTTGTGATAAAGAACAGTATTAGGGGAGGAAACTAGATTACAACCATGTTAATTGAATTCATCTTAGAAACCAGCCCACTTTTATTAAATTTAAATGAATGTTTTTAAGAAACTGTCAGATACTCAAGTTTCAATGGAAACTTAGTGCTGGATGACAACCCCAAAGATTGAGGTTCTGTGCTGACTCATTGAATAGCTGTAGTAGTGATAATGTAGATTTCCACCACAAGGCTTCACTATTCTATTCTTGGGGTAAGAGTAGTTCTGCCTCCAGGATGCCGCTGGAGACAGCATAGGTGTTTTTTGGGGACTGGACACTTGTACACACAGGCACTATACAGATGCCACCAAGTCACTTTACACAGGCCACTGAACAGCCATTAATTGAAAGTTAGCTTTCATCCACTATTGAATCTGGTTACCCAGACTTGTGTGTATCCTGCTACTTCTCCCTCCGAGTCATCCAATTGTCCTACCCTCTCAGTGTTTCTTACTGTTAGAAATAGGATTTAGAAACTAGAAAACATTTCCTCCCTTAGATTACTAAACCAACTATTTAGCAATTGTAGGGCTTACATGGGGAAATCATTCCACAATAAAGTAGGGTGTAAACTTGAAACACAATAGCTATTCTGCAACAACTCCCTGGGTGAGGAGCTATTGTGGAATAGCTATTCTGGTCAATTTCCACATGTAGACAAGCCCTTAGGAGGCAGGAATGATGGAGTTCACTTTCTGCTTTCCCACCTTTCATTTGGTGCAAAAATTGGCATAGTGTTAGCTGGCAAATATCCTTGTGAAGTCATAAATGATGACAGTGTTGCCAACTAGATACTGTAAATAGAGCTTCCTTAATGTTGACTACCATTTTTGGCTGGTTTACTCCTTTGCTGCAGAGCAAAAGTACTGCAGTGTTTTTTCTTTTTCTATTTGGGGACCTGGAAGCCTTTTTAAAAATTAATTGTTCAACAGATTCTAACAATTTCAAGGTGATCACTTTTATTAAGCATAAACTAGTGCTTTTTTGAGAGCTGGTAACTTTTGAATCCAGTTTGTAAACATTTTGTAGATTTGCTCTTTCAAAGGGAGAGCAAACGCTTGAAAGGCCTTTACTTGGACCGTCTTACCACAGAGCACATCACTGGGACTTTAAATGTACTGAATTAGTGACTCAGATCTATTATGTACTTGCTGCATCCTGACTAAAGTTATGTCTACACAGCAAAGAAAAACCCACAGCTGACCCATGCCAGTTGACTCAGGCTGCGGGGCTGTTCCGTTGTTGTGTAGACTGGAGCCCGAACTCTGAGATCCTCCCACCCCGCAGATTCTTAAAGCCCAAGCCCAGAAGTCTACACAGCATTGACACAGCCCTATGAGCTCAAGTCAGCTTGCGTGGGCTAGCTGTGGGTATCTAGTTGCTGTGTAGACATGACGACGTCATAGCTGCAGTCTCTTGGCCTAAGTTTTTGAACTAAATTTCTTCTGTTTTCACTTCAACTCTTTCCTCTTCCTTCCTCACACAGCTGTGTTGCCTGCTCGTTGCTACTCTCATGGGACACAAGAGTCAGATGAAGAATTTGATGCTCGCTGGGTGACATACTTCAACAAACCAGATATTGATGCCTGGGAGCTAAGGAAAGGTGTGTTAAAAGGGAAGGAAGGAATGTCTGATATTGAAATACTCATGGCTATGGTAATATGGGGAAACCTAAACTGCTTTGAAATATTATGACCACTGAACATTACAGCTATGTCAGAAAGTAAAAGTTTATGCTATAGCAGGGCAGATATGCAATGCTATAGGCAGAGAGCTCAGAAATTCTCCCAAAATTCACTTCCATAATACTGAACTGTACGGTCGGTGTATGTTTTCTAAACTACCTTGAATGACACAAACTACTACACTTACTCTGTAATATTAGACATTTGTGAAGGAGTTAAAAGAACCCAGGAACCTCCAGTGTAGTCTTCTTAACTTACTGAGTGCTAATCAAGGGCATAGGGTGATGGGGTCTTGCCTTTTCTAGAATGTAGATGCCTGAGATTAGGGAGTGGGGTTACTTGTGTAGTCCAAGTGCAATCCGTGTGACTTGCTGCTTCATTGTGATTGCTTTGTATCAGCACTGTTAAGATGATCAGTGATGTAGTATAGTGGCTTTCAAACTTTTTTTCTGGGGACCCAGTTTAAGAAAATTGTTGATCCCCACAACCCAATGGAGCTGGAGATGAGGGGTTTGGGGTGTGGGAGGGGCTCGGGACTAGGACAGAGGGTTGGGGTGAGGGCTGTGGAGTGGGGCTGGGAATGAGGGGTTCAGGGTGTGGGGGGGCTCTGGGGTTGGGGTGTGGGAGGGGGGTCAGGGATCTGGGCTGGGGGTGCAGCCTCTAGGATGGTGCCGGGGATGAGGGGATTGGGGTGCAGGAAGGGGTTGGGGCACGGACTTACTTCTGGTGGCTCCCGATCAGCGGCGCAGCTGGGGTGCAAGAGACAGGCTTCCTGCCTGTCCTGGCACCGCGGATCACGCTGCGCCCCAGAAGTGGCCAGCAGCAGGTCTGGCTCCTAGGCAGAGGCACGCAAGCAACTCCACGCAGCTCTCACCCGCAGGCACCGCCTCCTAGGTCCCGGCCAATGGGAGTTCAGAGCCGGTGCATGAGGCGGGGGCAGCGAGTGGAGCCCTGTGGCCCCGCTGCCTAGAAGCTGGACCCGCTGCTGGCCGCTTCTGGGACGCAGCGTTGGAACAGGTAGGCACTAGCCCGCCTTAGCTGGGCAGCCCCGCCGACAGGACTTTTAACATTCCACTCGGCAGTGTTCACCAGAGCCGCTAGGGTCCCTGGGTGCTGAGCAAGGCGACCCAGTGCCTTACGTGCTGCAACCTAACACTGGGTCACAACCCAAACTTTGAAAAACACTGATGTAATAGATCTGGAGTTCACTTCTTATAGCTAAGGCTACGTTTTAGTCACGGATATGTTTAGTAAAAGTCGCAGGGCTGTGAACAAAAAGTCACGGGCCCGTCACCTGTCCATAACTTTTACTAAAAATACCTGCCCTGACTAAAACTCGGGTGGGCGGGCGGCCGTGGGTGCTCGGGGGGGGGGGGGGAACACGGTCGGGGTGTGTGTGGGTGCTTGGGGGGAGAGGTTGTGGCTGGCAGGGCCTTCCTACTGTCTCTGCGTCCCTGCAGCTCCTAGGTGGTGGAGGCAGGTGTCAGGACAGGGGCTCTGCTGCTCCTGCAACAAGCACTGGCTGCCGCAGCTCCCATTGGCTGGGAACCGCAGCCAATGGGAGCTGCGGGGATGGCGCCTGCAGGCAGTGCCTGGTGCGGAGACTTCCCGCCCCTCCTCTGCCTAGGAGCTGCAGGGAGGCCATGCCGGTAGGAGCTGGGGAGTCCACTACCCCAAGGTAGGCACCCCCGCTCTCCCCAACTCCCTGCCCCTAGCCCTGAACCCCCTCCCACACACCCAAACTGCTGCTGCTGGCCCAGGGGCTGCCTGATCTTTTTTGTTAAAGCTTTTGTAAATAATGAGATCACATGACTAGCATCATACTGCAATGGCAAGAAAAGAGTGAAAGGAACAGATGGGGCAAAATAGTTCTGGAATGTGGGAGAGATAAGATTGAAATTGATTTTGATGGTGCTTGTTTATCACCATGATGATCATGTTAAAAATATCATGGAGATGGAAGGAAAGTGGACGATGAGGGAGACCCTAGGCTGAACTTTGAAAAGAACTCTCGCAACAGGTTCTAACCCTTCTTTTACCTATTAAATAATGGGGGTTTCCTCAGGCTGTCATTCTTATCTTCTTCTGACAGGCATGAACGCGTTGGTGGGCTACGATCTGGTGCCAGAACCAAAAATCATCGATGCTGCTTTGAGAGCATGCAGACGGTTAAATGACTTTGCTACTGCGGTCCGCATCCTAGAAGTTGTAAAGGTCCGTATAGTGGTGACTTGGGATATGTTGGAAATGCTGCTGCTTGTGCTTTCATGCTGCTGAAAGGGTTTTAAAATGGAGATGAGTCTCCTAGCTTCTCATGTTGTATTTTCACCCACCTAAGCAGGGGAAACCCCCAGTTTCCTGATGGTACTGGAACTAGTAGTTTGACTAAGATTGCATGGCCAAAATCAGTTTTAATTTGTTGCTGTTTAAGTACCAACAGAAAATCCCTCCTGTATAGGTTTCAGAGTAGCAGCCGTGTTAGTCTGTATCCGCAAAAAGAACAGGAGTACTTGTGGCACCTTAGAGACTAACAAATAGGATCACAGGTGTAAATGCACTGGATACAACTGTACTTCTTCCTTCCCCTCTATTGACCCTCCTCTTTAGAAGAGAACAGAATAAAGAGGTGAGCCTCTGCCGCCCACACTGTAGAATATGAGAAAAGGAACATGTTGTCCCCTCTTCTTCACCAGGCAAACTTGTAGGAGAATCGTGTGCTAATGGGGCCTGACTTTCAGAAGTGTCTATACTGGACATATCTTTTAAGGGAGACCAAACTGAGACCTCGCCTATCACCAAATCATCTAAAACATAAATATGAATATAAATAGCATGGCTGTGAAAGTCAAACAGCTCTGTACAACTGTAGCATTTTTTCAGGGAATTTAACAAAGATGACCACATGCTAAACTTATCGTCTCTCTTTTCTCTGCACCCTGTCTTTTTTTGCTCTCCTCCTCTTCCTTCTATGCCAGAATGACTGGCCACTGAGATGATTCTTGAAAATATTTCCTTTGGGGGAAATGTAAGGGATCAGATTGGTTTATAACCCCCCTCCCAAACTTCTCTTCTCCCCTAAAACCCTGTTTGAAAGGCTTTTGTGGGGGTGACTTCTCCTTAACCCCTGAAAGAAACACGAAACTAACATTTTATGTTTTATAAACTGACCCTTTCTTTGGACTTGTTTAGATATTCGTGTATCTCTTGCTCTTTTTTGCCAAAGCAATCAACAGGCAGCCCTCAAACTGGTCTGCAGAGCATCTAGAGATGTGTGGAGAGCCAGCTGTTCACCTAGTGCTGTTTTTCCTTGTATTCAGTTTGTATGTTTCATTACAGATAGTCTGGGAGGGGGGTTTCTGAAACACTCAACTTTGTCCTAACTCTGCTTCCATTGGAGTTAGTGAGAGTTCTGTGCAGCACAAAATCTCACACCACCCATTTATTTTCCATGTAAGCAACTGCTGTGGTTTAATAGGCAATGAGGTGGCCTGCATGATAGTGAATGGGGGAGGGTAGTCCACATAACTGTGGTTAGGTTGGAAGAAGTCCACATTATGAACACTTGAAAAACACTGCAGTAAATGAATGAATTTAGCTACTACCTCTTTGTACTTGACTCCAGCCAAATAAGTACAGGCTGTGATTAGCGGACTTCAGTGTAGATATTCTATGGAAGGTTCATCTGATTTTTTTGTTCTTAAGCAGTGCTACAATGTTACCTTTCCATCTTATTGGGGATAAACTATTTTATTACTAGCAATAAATGGATCAAGCTGTAGATCCTGTTGTGAGTACGTGATTCTCAGACACAGGCAGACATAGTCTGGCATACAGTGCAATATTGATTTTTCTTTGCCATCTCTTTGCTATTGAATTAATTTTTTCCTCTTCTGATTAGGACAAGGCAGGACCTCACAAGGAAATCTACCCTTATGTTATCCAGGAACTTAGACCAACTTTGAATGAATTGGGAATCTCCACTCCAGAGGAACTGGGCCTGGACAAAGCATAAACATAATTGGTAAGGGGAACCGTATCTTCCTAGAACCCTGAGATGGGACTACGTAGCCTAAAACTCCTTTTAAGGGTATATAGCAGTCTTCCTTGGATATAAGGAACCCCTAAAGAGAAGGGTGGTGGAATGCATGTTTCATGGGTAAGACTTTTGGGACTTGCACTACCTGACAATGGAAAACAATTCAGTAGTGTCTACAGTAAGGTTATGCTCAGTGAAAAGTTCAGAGTTCTCTTTTTAGTTATATATACAGAATGAGGGTGTCTAAAGTCCAATTCCTAATTGTAATGTGTTCTGTAAAAAGAAATCAAAGGGGCTGTGGGTGAGAGACTGGTGTGGTAGACTAATCTGAGCATGGTTTAATAAGTGGAGAGAGGCTTTTGTAACAGAAATCGTAATATTCAGTTACTGAAATATTTCCCCTAGAGTCTCTAATGCATCCTAAAAATGAAAGGAGGTTAACGTTGACAGATGTCTTTTTAAATTCAAGGATCCTAGACTCCATTCCTAAATGGAAAACTTTAGATGGTGCCTTTAATAAAAGTAAAAGAGGGCCTATCAAATGCATTTGTCCAAATACAGCAAGAAGACAGAAGATATGTGGAGAGAAACATTTTCATGTGTTGATAATTTTGATCACCTAGCTGTAGTACTACTAAAATCTAATAATGTGTTTCTGCTGCTTGGAGGGCAGGCGGTGAGGGGAAGAGGCAATATTCAGTGTTCTAGATGTTTGCTTGATTGATACAATTACTGGTCTTTAAAGAATCCTCATTTCTTTTCAGTGTTGCAGCTTTGAGTCTGTTGCCTTGACAATAAGCTGTTACCATACTTGCTCAGAAGTATATAAGATTTTTGCTTCCCAGCAGTCTTTGCAAGAAGCTCTTTCCCTCCCTATGGAAGGATCATCCCAGATGAAATGATGCTAATCTTTACTTTAACATCTCAGTCTGTCTAACCCTTTTAAACAGAAGATAGAACAGGACACTAGTGCTTCCCTATGTTGGGAAGTGGTCCCATTGCTGGCAACAACTGTCCGCAGGATTGAAGCTGCTGATGTAGAAGGGATAAATCTTCTGCATCTTTCAAAAGTGTGATCTGGCTCCACCCAGTGCTGAAAATAGCACTGTCCCCTTCAGCTGTTCAAAAAGCACAGCACTGGCTTGGGGGACCCTTTGCTTACAACATAGTGGACAGGTCAATTTCATAGCGTAGCTAGGGCTTAAGTGCTCGGTGGGCAAAACTCCTGTTGGCTTCAGTAGTTTCAAGCGCGGTTTCAAGGAGCTGTTTTAGCTCAAAGTTAATCTCTGTTCTAGTCTAACGTTCTTTAATGGTGCTTGGGGGAGATATTTTCAGTGCTTCAAAGGTGATGGATCTGTTTTTAGGGTTAAGCTTGAAAGCTGGTATCTGTCCTCAAATTCAAATATAACTTGAATGGGAATCTACATCCTGTTTTAAAGTAATAAGTTTCCCATTGTCTAACATTAGCTAATGCTTATGTTGCTGCATCACTGGCTGACAGCTTGGTACCAAAAGGCTGTCAGTTGGCCAATGGGTATCTATCACAATAGCAAATAAGCTCCAGCCACTGAATGTAAATGTTGATTATTACGTAGACCAGAGTGAAGCATAACACAACTTTCAGTGATGATGCAACTGATGCATATCAATTTATTAGAAATGGGCTTCACTCTCAGAAAATAATGGGTTATACAGAAGATGGCTGAGTTTTTAAGATGAGATATATGTAACCTTAAAGCATCTCAAACTTTGCATTTTCACCCATTTTAAAAACTTCAACAAATTGGCCTGTTTAAAGGGGTAAAAACTGCGTTTCTAACATTTCCCCCCGCCCCCCTCGGGTGGAGTGGTAATGCTGGGTCACTGGTGCGGGTACTGCTCTTCTGGGCCTGAAGAATTAGACTGTTTGTTAAACCTGGCAATGTATTGATTGAGTGATGGGAAGAACACCATATGATCTGAGACCACCTAAAATGGTGTGGAAGTATTGGCCTGCTTAAAGTAATTTTTTTAAACTAATCCCTTATCTGTTCTCTTCCAGATGGGCTGCACATGCATTTTATTAATGCTCAGTGATTGTACACAGTCGCCTGGAGACACAGATGTTAAAATATTACCTTATTTGAAATAACTTCTTTCTTTATTGAGTCCCAATGTATGTAATGTGAAGTTGGAACTAATAAAGGAGAAATGGGTTTGAACTGAGCTTGATCCTTGTTGCCTCTGTGGTGATATTGGAGAGGAAAACCAAAAAATGAAATTTCCCAAGAGCAAAGAGAGAAGCAAAAATACACTTTGGATAGAGCCAGCCTGCTATTAACTGTATAACCCACCCTGAATCCATCCAGCAACAGTGTTGGTTTCCAAGGCCAGCTGCAGAGTTCCTAGATGGGATGTTATATTCACAACATGTGAAGTTTACTAGAATTCTAAAGATAAAAGTATTGTCAATTGGCCTCTCTGCACTACTTAGCAATGTAGATTAATGCAATGAGGCATGGGAGGCTTTTGCTTGGTTTCGTTGTACCCCGGAATGGGATGTAATTTAAGCAATCAGTTGTGTGCTTTCTTGACCACTGGCTGACCCAAGTCTGTTGTGTGTGACTTATGCTTACGCACACTAATGCTTGAACTTCAGTAAATCAGGGCCTCTTTTCTCCCATAGAGAACATACGTGGCATTAAGTGTTTTTAGGGACATCAGTTTTAACCTGCTGAGTTTTATTTTTTAACATAAAATGGTAATTGTAAGCTCTTCGGGGCAGGAATCCCATCTTTGCATTTGCTAGGTGTTGTACAAAGTAGAGGTCCCGATCCTGACCAGGACTTTGAGGTGATATGGCAATACAGATAGTGCCACTTACCTGTTTTTCCTCTCTTTAGGAATCTTTATTTCCCTTTCCCTCCCCATTTCCCAAAAAACAATCAATATAAAACTCTTCCCTGATGACCTCGCCTGCTGCTCTGCCAAGCATGGAATCTTTCAGAGGGCCTGAAGCAATGACATGTGCATCTTGAATCTGACTTGGAGTACAGTCCAAACAGCAAAACGTGTTTAATATGAAAAAGGAGTGTGCATACATTCTAGAACTGTTCACTGGGGAGATTGGGGCATCTGCCTCTGTATAATACGATCACTTCCTCAATCATACTCTCTCTGCCCCTGCACAGGAGTGCTAGCCCCTTCCACATGAAGGAGTGAGTAACTGTAGCCAACAGCTGCTTACAGGCAATCCTAGCCAGATTAGAGTTGGGTAGCAAAAACAGACTGATAAGGGAAATTAAACAGCAAGAATATTTAATACCACACCTTATATTTATTGCTGGGCTCTTGGAATGAGCCACGCCAGTTCAAACAGTTTTTCTTTTCAAACAGTGCTGAGATAACACTGACTTCAGGAGTGTAGGCGAGAAGAGCAGTTGTTACAGCTGAGAAGGTATTTCCTCCGTATTTGGAGGTCCACAAATCTATAGCAAAGAACTGAAAAAGTAACCTGAAGATATTACTAGAAGGAATTTATCCTTTCATGAATCATCTTTTGAGCCCAGGCTTTTACAGCTAAAAAAGGCAATGAACAAGACTAGGCTAACCAAAGTGTAGGCTTGTTTAAAGCATTTCACATACACTTGAACTACTTGACCAAATCAGTGTATTCTTTGCCAGAAGACTTGTGTCCAAAGGGAAATCTTTGAGGGAACGAACCAAACGTTTTAAAAAACAAAACAAAAAAAACTACAGATTTGATCAGATGGGTTTATTTTGGACTCTGTTGACCCTCTCACTGTAGAAAAATGGTATCGTAGTCACTATCTGTCTTGGTCACCATTGAAAAATAAGACTCAGGAGGTCACTGTCCACTTTTCACCTGGAAGTCCATCCTCTGCTGAATTGCTGTCTCAAGAGGGCAGCAGAAGCTTCCTGAAGAGAGCCAACAGCAATAGTAACGGTCTGAAGATGTATAGCAATAGGTGAGGTGCCTGCTCAGACACTCTTGGATGTGTAGATGGAGAAATAGCCCCTTCTTCCAAACTCAAACACAAAGGAAGACCGCTGCACCACTCTAGCGCTTTAGTGAAGACAAGCCCAGAGACCTTTGCAAAGAAGTTTAGTTTATCAAACCAAGCCCATGGCAGCCACTAATGAAGTGCTAATTAATCAATGTTAGTGCCACAATCTGTTCAGATTTTTCTAACAAAACACCTAGATTTCTCAGCTTGGGTGCCTTGCTTTTCATTATATCCAAGTCTTTGTACACTGTTTGGACTGTAAGGCCTTCAGGTAAGGGACCTTAGGGGTGATTTTTCACAGGCACAACTGACAATTGCTTAACGGTTATTTGTGCCTTTGAAAGTCTGCCCCCTTGTTTCCAAAGGCTTGGTATCCGGGTGGGCAAACTTTTTGGGCTGAGGGCCACATCTGGGTGGGGAAATTGTATGCAGGGCAGGGGATTGGGGTGCGGGGTGTGGGGGGGGGGTGCAGGAAGGGGCTCAGGGCAAAGGATTGGGGTGTACGAGGGGGCTCGGCAGGGAGTCGGGGTGCAGGATGAGTGCAAGGTGCAGGCAGGGGGCTTAGGGCAGGGAGTTAAGGGGTGGGGTTTGGGCTCCGGCCCAGTGCCGCTTACTTAAAGTGGCTCTGGGGTAGCAGCGGTGCGTACTGGGGCCAGGGCAGGCTCCCTGTATGCCTGCCCTGGCCCCACGCTGCACTGCTTCAGGAAGTGCTGGGGGAGGGAGGGCTCTGCATGCACTACCCTTGCAATGCCTCCAGGTACCTCCCCTGAAGCTCCTATTGTCCACAGTTCCCCGTTCCTGGCCAGTGGGAGCTGTGGGGGAGTGGTGTCTGGAGGCAAGGGCAACACATGGAGCCCTCTGCCCCCCTGCTTGGGGGCTGCAGGGAAGTGCTGCTGGCCATTTCTGAGAGCGGCGCGGGGCCCGCGGCACCACAGGGGGCAATCCCATGGGCTGGATCCGGCCCGTGGGCCGTAGTTTGCCCACCCCTGCTCTATATGCATAAGCCTTGTCCAATGAAGTCCGTGCTCAGTGTCTTTGGGAGAGTAGGGGTGGCTGCTTTCTGTGAATGGCAAACCTAACCCCCCATTAAGGCTCTTAACTGTAAAAGGAAAGGGACTGATAAAGGGAGACCATGAAAATTAATCCTCCCTTTGATATTCCTGGGGTCTCAAGTTTCTTACTAGTACCTCTTTCTATTCTCACTATTGACCTCCAACTCCACCTTTTTGGAATTATTAGTATGGAGGGCAGGAGAGGGGAAATAAGCTTAATACACACGTTTCCACTGCTAGAAACAGTTCAGATGACATGATGAAAAATCAGTTTTGATAATTTCAGGGGGCTCTCTAATGAAAGTTTGTTCACAATAAAACTTACCACTATTGGCTGTAGCGTCATCTAGGAAGAGCCTAAAACTGTCATGCTGTCTGAAACATCATACTCATCCTGTCTGTCGCTAGACGATATTGTCTCATTTCTTATGAGCATTAAATTCAGATGTCTTTTTTTTTTTTAAAGCACTAAACCACATTTCTGTTCTGAGAGTCCTGAAGAATGAATAACCAGAGATCTGTGTGACCAGCTTTACTACTAACAGCTTGAATGGTTATAAGCTAGCTTTACTTGGGCTTTGGCTACACTGGTGCTGTACAGCGCTGCAACTTGCTGCAGTCAGGGGTGTGAAAAAACACCCCCCTGAGCGCAGCGAGTACAGCGCTGTAAAGCACCAGTGTAATCAGTGCCTGCAGCGCTGCACACTATTCCCCTCAGAGAGGTGGAGTACATACAGCGCTGCGAGAGCCCTAAGATTGAGTTCCTGGGTTGGCAGAGTTCATGTGGCTGGCCACTTGAGGTCCCATTGAAGGGCCAGTTCTGTCTGAGTCAATCACATCAAAAGCATTTAAAGACAAACAATCCTTCAGAGTGGGAATACTACCTTAATGACAAGATGATCTTATTGGGTTAAGAAAAAGCTAGGACTACATCCATCCCCTGTCTTAGCTCTCTCAAATTGCACTGTCCAAGCAAATGACCTCCACTGTCTTCTATGCCAGTAACCAATCATGCTTACTTATCTATACCTTTTAGTATATCTATAAAATCCTAAAGAGAGAAGTCACATTACATATGCTCCTGCAACTGGCTGGGAGGAAAGCCAGAGATTTTTCTTTTCTCTCTAAAAAATAGTATGAACTGTAGAAGGCTTGTAATGGGACTAGCTTGAAGTAACATACCTGAAATACAAGTCACTGAGTTCAATCATTTCTGTTTTTGAGAGAATAATGAAAAGCTGATTATTGTTGGGAAATGTGAACATACCAGTAACCAATCAGCCAGAATACCCATCATGGAAATGATGATACTCTAGGAAATATTCCATCAGACTTCACCTGTGACCCTTTCAGCTCTGGCTCAGGGTGGTCTATTTTCCAGTGAGACATCAAATAGGAAGGTTTCAGTGCCACATTAAGTCATTGCAGAACTGATGTGGTCGGATCCTACAAGTGCATGGAAAGGGACACTGATCATGGATACCTCAGTTGGGGAGCTCATTTGGACCACCTGCAAATTCAAGGAAGTTGTTCCCTGGATGACATGGGTTACACATGAACATCCTGGAATTCAGAGACATCCGACTGTCCTGGATGATGTTCCTACTTGTCCTCCAGAACTGAGTCCAAATCTTCGCAGACATGACAGCTATACTCTGCCTGAACAAATGGGGGTGGGGGGTGCCCACTTCTCACCCTTCTGCCTGAAGATCATTACATTCTGGACTTGGCCCCATCAGAATGGGGCAACCCTGATGACCTTTCGTCTCCTGAGGGTAAGCAACAGTTTAGCAGACTTTGTGAATAGGCGATCTCTGACCAATCACAAATGAACCTTGCATAGCTTCATCACAGGACTGATATTCCCTTGTTGCTGATTCCCTGTAATAGACTTCTTTGCACAAAGACAATGCCAAGTGTCACAACTTTCGCTCCAGAGGAGGTCTGGGTCTAGGGTTGCTACTAGATGCCTTCCTCCTGCGGTGGAGCAGAAGCCTGTTTATGCCTTTCCATTGATTCCCAGGGTACTCTCCAAGATCAAGAGGGAAAGCCACAATCATTCTTATAGGTCCATATTGGCTGAGACAGTTTTGGCTGACAGATGTGCAATATATGTCCATTCAACCTCTACTTCAGCTCCCAGACCATCGAGACCTGATCTCATAGAACCATAGCCGCCTGCTGTATCCAGACCAAAGTTACAGCACCTCATGGCATGGCTGCAGGGTGTTAAGTACTACGGACAGGAACTGCTCCCTACAGATCCAGGAAATCCTGACACAGAGCAGAAAAACATCTACCAGGAGAATGTATTTATCTAAATAGAAGAGATTCTTGATATTGACAGCCCAATGTGGTTTGGACCCAGCCCAGTCTTGATATTAAAGATCCTCAACTACTTACTACACTTAAAACAGGCTGGCCTTTCATTCAACACTATTAATGTCCACCCAGCAGCAGTCTTAGCTTGCCATCTGCCTGTACAGTTTTGATCATCTCTTACTCCATGGTATTGACGTTTTTCAGATGGCTATTACACACGCACCTGGGACCTTCTGAGGCTCACGGATCTTCTGTTCAAACTTCTCTCAGAATGTCCCTTACCCCACCTCACTCTACAATCTGTTTCTGGTAGCTGTCACTTCAGCCAGGAGGGTGAGTAAGCTGCAGGCTCTTATGGCTAAACCCCCATGTGACATTCCATAGGGACAAGATGCTGCAAAGATATTACCCAAAGTTCATTCCTAAATTGGTCTCAGATTTTCATATACACCAATCAACCTACTGTTTTCTTCCCAAAGCCACACTCAGTCCTGGGTGAAAAGAAATTACACGCGCTATATGTAGTCAGGATTTTGCATTATTATATTGTCAGGACCAAGCCGTTCAGGTGTATTTTAAGTAGTTAAGGAGGTAGCAGACAGAACAAGGTAGATTACTAAACTGAATACACTAAAGAAACTGGTTACATGTGTGTTCTCACCCTAAATGTGGTTCTAATAATCATCTTCACCGGCCAGATGTCCTTCCAGCCTGGGTCCAGGTCTTTTCCCTGTTCAATCTTCATTGTTTCCAGCAGTCATCGTGGGTGAGGTAGTAGGGGAGAACTCAAGACCAGGATTACCTCCCTCCCCTCCCTTAAATAGGATTTGCATTAGGCAGGAGTCCTTTGTTTCCTAGTTTGACCCCCCTTCTCTTACAGTAGAAAGTTACAAGAAGTCCCAGGTAATGTTTTAGTATCAGATGACAAGATCACCTGACTCTGTAGGGCCCTTGTAGCCATTCTTCACAGGTTGACCCACAAATTCACAGGAAGACTAACCTCTTATACAGTCCATTGTCCTTATTGATGGGCCATCTGCCCTGGCTGGCTTTTCCATTGTTGTACCTGAATTGTTGGCAGTGGGCATCACCCAAAGTGGCATAGTTGAAATAGATACATAGTCAATATTCCTAACTTCAGATACAGAAATGATACAGGCAAACAAATTGGTTAATCACATTCAGTAAATCATAATCTTTCCCATGATATCTCACATGAGCCATCTTGCATAAAGTATATCTGTTATATCATTCATATCATAAGCATATTTTCATAAATAATATGGAATGACATGTCACAAATGTATCTCACTGTGCTTACCAGCTGGCTGATGCACCTCTCCTACAGAACATCAAGGGTTACTCCACCGGGTCATAAACGACATCCTCCACCTGCTCCAGAAAAGCACCAGTATGGGAGATCTGATCAGCGATGATGTAGAGTAACCTGCTGACCTATGCCAAGTGCTGTACCTTTAAATTAGTGGCTATGTCAGATGCCAAGTTTGGGAGACCAATACTACAATCAGTGTTAAACTGATGCAGCTGGAACTCCTCATTCCCACCATCCTGAGGGGATACTGCTTGTCAGTTACCTACACTAGGATCCACACTGACACAAGCTCTAAGAGAGAACAGTTACTTACCCCATGGTAACTAGTTCAAGATGGTCAGTGTGGATCCCAGACCTGCCCCCATCCTTGGAGTCCTTACCTGCCATGGTCTTTAATGGTGAGGGAACATGGGAAGGGTCGTGACCACTTTACTCTTCAGCCACAAGGGGGCATAATGGACATGCACAGCCCTGACAAGCAAGGTTTATTAAAAAAATCTGATCTCCTGTGCATCCCATCCTACACTAGGATCTACACTGACTCAAAGAACTACAGTTACTGTTGGGTAAAGAACCCTTTATTTTCTTTTCCACAGAATGTTGCAAAAAAGCAAGTGGAAGGTGGGCTAAGAAAAAGAGACTAGTCCTGTTATTTGGGAAGTGACCTAGCTGAACATCAGAAAATATGTGCCCCAGACCCCTCATGACCACAACTGTTCAGTGTTTAGTGTCCTTTAAAAGCTGAGACTATAACCATGGCATAAGCTCCCTGGCCTGTCTTGCAGTGAGATAAGGGATTAAGTATGTATAGGATCTATTTCAAACACTCTCCTGTCAGTCCAGCTAATGGGATCTAGAAGTTCTGTCTGTAACACACAGATTCTCAGAGAGATTAAATCCTTATGTGTGAGACACAGTTTTACAAGTGTGGCATTTATTAATGCTTTATAAATCAGAAATTGTGGAGTCTGGGAGGAATGGGATACACAGTAACAGGGCTAAGAATAAGATGTAATTTATGTTCTTGGAAAGCATTTGTTGCAGAGGATGTTAAAAAAATAAAAAGTAATAATATACAAACAGATCCTACCCTAGCCTGTCTCAGGATCGATCAGGCGTACAATGGTTTGTATGTTGCTTCTATTGACTTCCCTTCAATTTAGCAACCCTCTTTCAAATCGCCTGATCCCCAGCCTTCCTCAAAGGATTAAGATTAAAATTGTCTGCACTGTGGATTGTCCATCTTGGTAGGTTAATTTAAAATGTATCATAGCTGGGACTGAGGTTATAGGAGCATGTAACTTCTGTTAGCATTCACTTTGGAAATTGCACCATGGGTAAATCTGCTTGCTGCTATGAAGCTTAACCATCCAAACCCCCCTGGATAATCCAAACATTCAGCACCACTTTTTGTGAAACAGAGCCATGGGTTAGTTAAATAAAGATCCACCCTTTTATTGGCCAGACACAAATGCATTTCAGTCTGTTTATGGCAGTTTTCATAGGAAAGAAAATATGAAAATGCTTATATTACCGCTTCCTTACATTACTGCAGAAATCTAATGAACTACCAGCATGACATGAAGGATGAGGGGAGACCCCCTCTGGTCAAAATCAGCATTGTTAGCTAACAACTTCTCACAATCCTGTTTAACCAGAAGGTTTCCTAGAGAAGACAAATGAGGTCACATGGTCCCTTGACATCTTTATCCAGCCTGTTTAGTCTATCATGTCTCTTTCTTCAAATACAGCTCAAACTTTTTATGATACATTCATGGGTGGAAGCATCTGTTGCTTCCTTAAGTAGCTGCACCTTAATTGCCCTCTGTGTAAATATTTATGTAATATTGCTATCCAATGGGGCAGTAACAATCCTTTTGGGCATGATGGTTTGTTTTCTATGCTACCCTGAGCTTTCAGTAGGCTTTCTGCAGCTCTGCTCTTCTCTAGTCAACCAACCATCCTCTCTCCTTCCCCCACCTTTCTGGAAACTTGGGCAGCCAGCAGGAATCATAATATATTTCTATATTCCTTAAAGAAGCCCATTTCTGCAGGACAGCAGGCAACCTAGTTCAGCATTTGTACTATGCTAAGACCAGGGCAGAATGGATACAGTGCCTTCTACTCTATGTAAGTGTTGAGGGGTTCTGAAACAAGGCTAGAAGTGAGCAAAAAAAGGAGGAGGAATTGTATCTATACCCAGGAGAGTGTGGTCCCAGTAGAGATGGATGGAGCAGTGTAACGGGGATCTGAAACCATAAAAGGACCCCTCCCCTCTTTTTTGGTGCTACTTTATCATAGGGTTACCATACATCTGTTTTTTCCCGGACATGTCCGGCTTTTCGGCAATCAAACCCCCTCCGGGGGGAATTGCCAAAAAGCCG